AAACACAGAAACCACAAGTCCGACCCGAGGGCTCCGTGCTCTGGGAGATCCCATTTGCTGGAAGTGTATCTATGTCCTCTTTTGCCAGATTCAGAAAAAAAAAAGACTTTAAATTTCGGCCAGCACACGAAGATGTTATTAGTGCAATCGATTTTTTGTGCAGAAACAAGCAGGCCAAAAGAGGAGGTGTGCAAAAGCTTCATCAAATTTATGGGGAAGAAAATATCAGCTTTTAACGTTCACTCCTTCTGACCGATGGCATCCAGCAGTCTTTTTCGTAATTTTTGAAATCCCATCCGAATGAGTCTAGCCGTGATTCCCAATCTCTCTTCTTACTTTGATACTTCGACAAGCTGTCGTTTTCTTGCAATACACTAAATTACTAGCGATACTTGGTGGTGGGTGTGGACCCAAGATCTTCAATGGTTACTAGGATCAACGGCTTGTTGACGCTATTTTCCTCCACTGATTGCTACGTAAGAATTTTGTTATAACTTGTTGCAGTTGCAAAAAGTCATAATAATGTACCTCTTAGCATTTTGAAGTAGGAGGGATGAGGGGGGGGGGGATGTCTCTTAACCGCTAAACATCCTAACATTGTCGTTCATAACGATGTGATAATGCTCAACACACACCAAAGACATCATGAAACTGCTAAGGTCTTGCCAAATGTTTTTGCTGGAAAAATAACTGAGTTGGTAATCCCTTCAGGAGATGGAACGAACATAGCAACAGCAGATAAAGTATTGATTTAGATAGCTAGAAATGCTGCAAGAACAGGCTACGAATTATGAGTTGTTCAGGTATTCCAGGCAGCGATAATATTGAAAAAACTGTCAAGGAAAACAAACGGGGAAATTTTATAACGGAGAAATCGCTGAGAACTATAGAGAAAAGATTCATGCAAGACCCGAGAAGTCCTGTAAAGCCCAAAGAAAAACGAAATTCTTGAGCGAAAAAAAGGAAAGCTTTTTTCTGACTTTTACTTTAAATGAAAAACAAACAGAACTGTTTTATGAACAACAAAACAACACCCATTGGAGCTGTTCAAAGAAAAAGACATCCATACATCGAAACAACGGGCTCTCACCTTTGCAATGCCGCAGACGA